TCATACCAAGCCTTCACAATTTCTGAATGCAAGAATGTGATGTACAATACAACAGTCCAGACACAAAGGATCGTCTCTTCGAAAATATACCACCTACAAGTGGATTTTTAACAGAACTCATTAGTCTTTCACCTTGAGAACCTCCATAAAGGAAAATGACCATAAACGAGCAGAGATTAAACTTTATGAAGCTCAGACAAACTAACCAATAGATTGCTCTGTATTTCTTTTAAATATGAAGACACAAACAAGAAACAACCAAGTTTGGACAAGGAAAAAAAGGTACAAAGTTGGGGGGGGAAAATTTAGAAAGAAATTCTCACTACAGAGAATATGAAACATAATTGAAGTGTTGCATATCAAAGGGACAAATGAGGGTATGAAATCTGGCAGGAACATTAGAAATTTTATTTGTAAATATGACAAATGATCTACATGAGAATTACAAGGTAAGGCAACTCCAATGCTATAGAAACTTTGATCATTTAAGAATCAGCCATGATGTAGTATCATTTCGGGCAGGATTATCTTCCATTGACATGTTCTATAGGAGGGACCGGTTATCCTTATATCATTTAGTCAATTGATAGAGCAAAAAGCCTAAACTGCAGAATTGGCACAATAATAGATTAATGAATTTAACTATTCAAATATATGAAGCTTTTGACAACGATGAAAGCTATTATACTACTCCAAAAGTACAACCTAAGACATACAATTCACCTAATGTACTCCAATGAATAAGCTACAGGTTATGGGCAATAACCTTCCATAAGATACTTTAACTGAGACAACGCAAAGTCAAATCTGTGAAATGCAAGTAAGCAATATCTAGCCTAAGCCTAATGGCATTACCATCATTAGCAAATCATACCAAAAACTTACACCGAAAAAAAAAAAACAGAAGAGCAACTCATGATTAAAAAGATGCTAGACCAAACTTGAAGGCAAAGAAGAGCTTGCCTATACTAACTGAAACAATTGGTTCACTCGTGTTCCATTAACTTCTCACTGGGCATATTACAACTAGCTGAATTGTTAAAAGTTGAAACCAACGGCAAACATGCAAGACACTATGCTCCATGAGCAATACATTGTGTCTTTAATTAAATAAATTTTAGTTTGTTTCAACACTGTTTCCCCGAGCTGTGATATTCCCTCGACCACCCAACATGAGCTCAATGAGCATCAAAGTGCCCATTAGCCTAAGCAAATAGTGAATAAAGGAACTACACATGTTAAGCTAACCAGGGAAGTATCACAATTTCTAGTTGACAAACATGAGTTCTCAAAACAGAAAGATGGATCTTGAGAACATAATAGATCATAAAAACATGTCTGAAATCAGAATCTTCAAAGAGATGGATGCGAATGCTTCTTATCTATACTCCCATGAGCAATGAATAAGAGCAAATCTGGATTTATCCAAAGTTTGACTTCAGAAGGCAGTACAATTATCAACAGAGGTCAACAATTAATTATGTTATGTTAAACTGCCAGGTCACCAGCAGGAATTGGATCACCGAACTCCACCATAAATAGTTGCAGATAAGATGGCAGTTACAGACTTAATAGTCCAGCTTTATCCGTCACTATTGTGTAGCTATCTTGCAGCAATAAATTACTGAAACGTTATAGCTCAGGATGTAAAACTGTAAGATTAACTGGACAGAAACTAACACACAGCAATATTCATCTTTTGTATTAGGATGATGCATTCAAAAGAAAAGCAACATATATAAACAACTGATGCTTCTTCATGATATCATCTTGAAAGCTATTCTTTTTAAGGGGCTCACCAAAATCGGCAATGATTTCCTTGCCCGATGCAAGTTCCTAGCCAAACACAGTGATGATCAAATTGAAGGACACATTTGTCACAATCATGGCAGTGCTTTGCCCGTGGAGGCTGCAAATACAATGCAAAATGTGTATTACAATTCATTGGAGACTGCACAATAAAAGCTTAAGATGAAAGTGCATTTTGATGACAAAGATGCAAACTTGTATCATTTAGATAAAATTAAACTATTTCCATGGTAATTAGCTTCAGCAGAGATCAGCACTTTCTTAGTGCAAGAAATAGAATGGCAATGTATTCATATCTAGAAATTATAGGCATAAGCCGCATGACCAAACATTTATTAATACAAAGCAATTGTGGAGGTAATCAATTTACAACATCCCAGATTTCATACATTCAAATCCAGTCATAGTTTAAATATAGACTCTGAATAGGTAAACAGATATAAACCTGCATATCCATATAGAAACATTAAAAGAGAGCTGAGCTAGTATCTCTATGCAGGAGTTTACATGTTACAGTCACTAAATGAGTTTGCATATTACATATGAGACTACAATATTAAACAGCAAAAGCAAGCTAGAACCAACTAATGTAACAAGAAGCCAGTAATATGCAATAGTCATTATTTTACAACAATAACAACAAAATCGTAAATCCCAACTATTTGGGGTTGGCTATGTGGATCTTTTGTCACCATTGAGATATATAAAGTCATACGTTTAATTAAGTTCAGAGTACTTAAATCTTTATTTATAGTTTCTATTAAAGTCTTCTTAGATCTTTCTCATCTCTTCTCGTATCACTAATATTAATCATTTCATCTCTTTTGACTACCACATCCAAAGGTCTCTTAAACACATGCCTATATCATCTTAAATGATTTTCTCTCATCTTATCCTCTATCGAAGCAATACTTAATTGTTTATAAATAAAAATATTTATTTTCCTATTTTATCTAGTAACTCTACACATTACGAATAAAAATATCCATCTATTTTTTCTATTGTTAAGCATGTGTAAGTAAAAAAGTAACCTAAAAATGAGATTTCTAAAAATAATAATAAGCAAAAATTCTCAAACTAGTGAGATATGATCAAGGAAACAGATAAAACCTCACCTGAATGATATTACAGTAAGTGCAAGTCCAGTTCCTGTCCAACCAAAACAAACTATATAGTGAAATCATACATAGTTGATTGTGTTGTTCTTCTGATAGTAGATTTATCTTTTATTTTCCATCTTTATCATGTTAAGAACCAAAAAAGAGTACAACAAAAGACGAGAAAGGCAAGATGTTAGTATCAGAGCACTTATTTATTATTACAATAATTAAATATTTATAACAATACCTGATTGCTGATCCAGGAGGGTAGAGGTCCATAACTAGCTTCGACCAGAAAGAAGTCGAGTACGAACTTTGTCTTTCTAATTGGTTCTGGGTCGAAGAAGAAATTATGTTCTCATTCCTTGAATTGGACTGTCTTTGCTTGATCATTGAAAAAGATAGTGAAATAAGGTGAGGATAAAATTTCAAGTCCATGGAAACACAATCATGAAAGTTTATGATCTTACTTTAAAATTGGTGATTTCATGTAAGTAGTATTTGATCCATTTCCTGCCCTCATTGCATCAATAACATACCTAGAACGCATGGATGTAAAAGAGGAATTAATAACGCACTTATATTCTATTGGAAGTATTAGGTGATATTTCATAGCACAGACATGATGAGCTTGTGCATGTTTACCCTGGAGATGAGCCTGACGTTAAGAAATACTGAACTAATGTAGCTACAAAAACCACCAAGTACACTGCAGTAAACCTACAAATACCAACATTTAAATTAAAAATTAAAATGTATGTTAAAATTTAAATTAACAAAAGCAACAAGCAGGGAGCAGGGAGCAGGGAGCAGAGACAAATAAGGTAACATAATTAAAATAAGGAATCTATAGAAGAGGAATGGCCTAGATATTCAGATTAAAATGCACATCACTTAAGGATCTAGAGACAGAAAATGACCAAAGTGGTACAGTCCAGATAACATGACGATGGCCTCATCATACTACATAATAAATCAACTATATCACTGAGAATACACCAAGTATCCCTATGCCATTGGAGTATGCAACAAGTCATAATACCAAAAAAACATTGTTCACATATTGGAATCACGACGAGTCGTCACAATCCTAACTGACCCGTTAACTTATTGAGCCTGAACCATGAGCCAAAATGTTTAAACCAAGTTAATGATAGTACACCCCACATCGGTGATAACCCTTCTAAATTAATCCAAATCATTGCTTAGTCCTGATGTGAGACTAAATTGGGATGTACTTAGTTTTGGAAAAATAATTTGCATCCTATACCTCCATAGAAAGGAAAATTCAATTTAAAAATGAGAGAGAAACACAACTATGCTCGATAGCATCCCGATCCAAGTGTTCTAGAGCCTACACATAGCAATTCTTGATGATAGCCTACCCCTTGCATGACCGCAGTATCTTCATGCTCTAAACTGCCAAAAGTGGGTTTCGAATATGTAGTAGTTGACGAAGCGTTACTAGATCCTCAATCTTGATCTTCGTTGATCACAAAACCAGATTAATAAGTCTGCCGGTTCGTAAATCTTTAATAATGTGCAAAATTTATCGACAAAGATCCAATATGTTACTAAAATGTAAACCTAAGGCACCTAAAGAAGAACAAAGGAGCAAGGATTTGTGAGGGCTACCATGGCTCCTCCCTAGTCTTGCGTATCAAATTGGCATCGAAAAGGAAGATAACGCCCACGAACGTCACATGAAGCAGAACCATCGCCACCTTCAATCCCCACGAGGAGCTACTCGCTGCAAAGCACCCAGGATTTTCCCAACCAAATCATTCCATCAAAGATAAAAGAAAACCACGAGAATCGGATCTTTCTGGGGAGAAACGGGTCGCACCACGATCGCAGAGGTCGGGGCAGAGACGGGAGCAGCGGTCGGACACCTTCTCGAGGTCCTCGCGGGCGGAGGAGCGGCAGACGCCGGCGGCCGCCATCGGGCTCAAATCAATCCAAGATCCGCGAGGAGGGGAAGAGGCGAAGAATACGTATGAAGGCCGGGGAAGGGTGCGGTTCTGGCTGTTCCGCAGGAGCAGCGTACCGTTGTAACCACCAGGCGGATCCGCTGCTCCAAACCATGCGAATCGAGACGTCTAATGTACGTCACACGACGCGGAACCCCGCAAAATAACAACTCAGAATAACTACGTGTCATCCAATGGGATGGTGATTTTAGTATCCGGCGTCCCGAGTCAACTAGCCAATTCATGAAAAGTCAGCTGGAACAGATTGGGCACGCTTCCACAGACCGTGTCGAGTACGAACCGGATCGGGTGTTTGACATCCAATCAGAGCAAAGCCTGTGCACCAACAACAGCAGTCCACGTGCACGCGTGGTTGGGTGGGGGGGGTGTTGGCGGGGCCACGTTACTTCCGCGAAGCGGCAGGAGAACGGCGGAGATTGAATCCTGCAAAATAGTTTTGCAAGCCAACACCACATGTCATCCGAACGATGGGTTCGAGTCGGACCGGTGGGTCAACGTCGCGTCGCACGTTGATTACGCATGTCTTTATCGACCAGTATCACTGTCTGCCCTAAATATAAGCCAATGGGGAAGCGCCATGCGGACGTTTGCAGGTCATTTGCTTGTTCCACGGTTGGAAGATGATGAAGATAATAAATGGATGACACTCCATCTTTGATTTTTCCTTATTATGGTTTCGCTTTTAATCTGATTTCTCAACGTAATATAATTGTGTTTAATCTGCATCAATAGACTTAACATCCAAAGCCCCGAAACGAACGGTCATAGCTAGAGCTTCATCTCGATTCATCGGGGCACCCTAAAGCACAACCACCCGCGACCGGGACACCGCACACGTGTGGCTCCCAGCAGCCTTTAGAATTAGATGAGGTGAAGTAAGCTTACTCCCGAGGGATCGCACGCTATATCCATGAATGTAACGCCGCTCGAGCGCGCTGGTTACGTGAGCGCCAGTTAAGGACTCGTCATGGGGCCCGCCTTACGTGGTTGATCCCTAGCGGATGACAGCGAGGCCCAACAACGTCGCTCTAGCCTCCTCCGCTGGCGTCCTCTTGCTCTTTGTTCTCCCATCCGCCAACTCATTCTCACACCAAAAGGCTAAGAGATTTCTTCCAGCTTGCCGATCGCATTAGCTTTTCCGAGCCTTCAACCTCTTCTGTGCTTCTTTCTTGATCTTGTTGTTGTCTTTATCTTTGGGATACTATGGCGGCGGAGCAGCACAAGGCTGTGGAAGGTGACAAGGAGGTGGAGATGCAAGACCGCGGTCTTCTGGAGAAGCGGCTCCCGGAGAAGGACAAAGAGAATATTCCTGGCCACAAGAAGCCAGCCGAGGAGGTTGCTGAAAGAAACACGAGGCTGAAGACTATGGTGGAACGGAGAAGAAAGGCATACTGGGAAGACTGAGGAGAAGAAAGGGGGAGATGAGTAGCTCTACCTACCAGGACAGCAAAGCCATGGGTTTCCTTCGTTTAGCTCTTCTGATCCGTCTGACAAAGCTGAAGCACAAACACTAACTCAGTGATGCGTAGCAGTTTCTGCTGATCATTCAAACGCTAGCAGTCCATTCTACTAGACTGCCAAACTCACCACCTACCAGTAAATCTTAGGCGGCAAAACCGAGAACACAAGGCTTGCTGTATCTACTGCATCATCACTACACTCCGTCCGGTTGCGAAGAAAACAAGAATATGCAGCTATAAAACGACAAGAGAGCCACAACATCACGGACCTCGACTCGATCCGAGTCATGTTAGTTCTCTGGGAGTGGGAGTCTCGTCAGTCGTGGTAGTCGCAGGCGTGGGCGAGGCGGAGGGGCTTGTCGAGCCGGTCCTCGCGCAGGGACAGCGAGCACCGGACGTGTCGGTAGAACTTGGACCTGACCAGGTGGCCGAGGACGTAAGCCCGGGCCCGGATCGTGAAGGACAGCTCGAGCGGCACCACCGCCGGAGCGCCGCCGTCCTCGGTCCGGCTCCTGAGTCCCGTGCCCCCACCGTAGAGCGGCACCTGGCTCCCGCCCACGGCAACCGCCACCGTGCGCCCGCTCTTCCTGGACTGGTAGAACTCCTTCATCTGCATGCACACGACAAAGATTGATCGCAGGGAAAGGCTGGTGGACTGTCAACGCCTATCATTCAGGCGTGTCAACCATGCTATCAAGCACAGTTTGACCTGCCATACTTGGCTTGCTGGTGTCATGGAATGTGCATAATGATAATTAACGCTTGTGTCGTGGTACCTGATCAAAATAATAGTAATAATAATTTAACCTGCACTAAAGTTGTGCCTGTAATCGATGCCTATACTCCGAGATAGGAACAGACTATTAATGCCTTCCACCAATGGACGGCAGGCTCCCTCCCCAATGCTTTCCTTCTCTGCCTACTGTGTTTCCTTTCCTCGATACGTACCAAATGCTGTCAGACTCCCTCGGAATTCGAGAGCTCGTCTTTTTCTTCCTTCCCCACCTCGGAACGCGACCGAGTCAGCAGCGAGTCAGGACTCCTGTTCGCTAAACCTGTCGTCTACTTCTACCCTGTACCGGCTACGTGGCGACTAGCTATTGGTGGCAATTCAAAAAGCAAAACGAAGAGATAGCGAGGGATACGGGATACGGGTGAGCTTACGTATCCGGTGGCGATCTTGAGGTCGGAGAAGTAGATCTCCAGGGGCGTGGAGGAGACGTGGACGCCGAAGAACGTCGCGGGGTTGCGAAACGCGATCCTGACCGTGGAGTTGATGGAGAGCATCTTGGTGGGTACGCCCGTGAGGTCCGTCCCCGCGTGGATGTCGTAGCTGCGGAACACCACGCCCTGCGCAAGGAGGAGAAAGAGAGATGAGGGAATGAGAGGGAAACGAGTTGCGATGCGCGACTCGGTGTTTGACTCGGGGCGTTCGGACCTTGACGAAGATGTCGGGCTTGTAGGACTTGCTGGCGCCCCATAGGATGAGGGAGAAGAGGGTGAAGAGGAGGATGAACCCCAAGACGAACCAGGCGACATAGCAGCGGACGGGAATGGGGCCGTCGTCCTCGACGTCGGAGTCGGAGCAGCCGGACGAGGCGGCGCCGTCGGGGTGGTGGCCCTCGGTGTGGTTGTGGAGCTTGCGCCAGGAGGAGGAGGTGTACTTAAGGGAGGCGGAGAGGCGGGTGGTGGAGGACTCACGCGAGTGGTGGATGGGGGAGCTAGCGTAGCGGTGGTGGTGCGGGTGGTGGTAGTGGGGGTGGAGAGGGGAGGCACCGGGGGAAGAGCCGCCGAGGGACACCCTGTCGACGTCGTGGTGGGAATGGGTGGGGCTCATAACGTAGTAGATGGGCCGGCGCGGCGGCGACCTCGGCGGCGACGAAGCCGCCAGGCTCGTCACCTCCGAGTCCGTCTTCGCGTGCATCTGGCCGCCTCTCTCTCTACCTGTGGAGGAGCGGGTTGATAATGGTGGGCTGCAACTCGCCTCGGTTTTGAAGGGGGAGAAGAGAATATATCGTTACAAAATGGTTTCTTTTTGGGGTTTTGGTGTGAAAGGGGCGCGCTGCACGGGTTTCGATGCGATTCACGGAGGGAGAGGAACGCAAGCCGTCCTTCTTCACTGTCGCCCGCTTTTGTTATCGGGGAATGGAGACGGGAAGACTCGGGCCCGCATGCGGGATGAGGGCGCAATGCCGGGCGTCACGTTCGACGAGAACGTTAGCTATTGATGTGGTCAATGTTGACCTCAAAGTTGAAGGACGTCAAAACATCCGCTCGCCGTGGAGTTTGTCCGGTGTTCCAACCCTCTAAACCGACGCTTTTGTGCATAAACTCAGGCTCTCGCGTGGAGATTTGTGCGGCGCCGGTTGTTCCTCGATCCAAACATCTCCATCGTTCATCGCTGGTGAGTGAGGCCCAAACCTTTTAGGTGGGTCCCAATCTCTTTGGTTTGTCACGTGAGCGTCCAGAGGAGACGTGGCAACATGTGATACGTCTTCCCGCGACACTCCTTATCCTCTCTCCCACTCAGCCTTCAACACGGATAGAGCGAGTGGCGGAGCAAACCAGCGTTTCTTCATCCGAAGCCCCAAATGCACGCTCGCTCTCGAATGGAGACTCTGCTCAGAACCCCCTCTCTATCCCGCTTGAAGCTGCCGCCGAAGCCCCTCCTCACCCTCCCTCCGTCTGCGCCCGCCCCCGCTTCTTCCTTCTCCCTCCGACCCCACGGCCTACGCGTCCGCTTCTCCGCCTCCCCCGACCAGCTGCCGGCTCCTCCGTTGCAGCCTCGAGAGCAGCGAGGCGACGAGGACTACGGCGAGGTCAACCGGATCGTCGGCAGCCGCACCGTCCGGTCCCCTGTCTTCGGTGACGACGGCTCCGTTTCGGCGGCCACCGCCACCGAGTACTTGATCGAGTGGAAGGACGGCCACGACCCGTCCTGGGTTCCGGCCTCCGCTGTCGCCGCCGACGTTGTGGCGGAATACGAGACCCCCTGGTGGACCGCCGCCAAGAAGGCCGATGCCGCCGCCCTCTCCGCCCTTCTCTCCGACCCGTCCGCCGCCCGGGACCCCGACGCGGAGGACCCCGACGGCCGCACGGCGCTGCACTTCGCGGCGGGCCTGGGCTCGGAGGAGTGCGTCCGCCTGCTCGCGGAGGCCGGGGCGGACGTTGACCGCCCGGAGCGGGCCGGCGGGGGACTGACCCCGCTACACGTCGCGGCCGGGTACGGGCAACCGGCGGCAGCGCGGGCGCTGCTGGCGGCCGGGGCGGACCCGGGAGCGTTGGACGGGAGGGGGCGGACCCCGCTGGAGCTGGCGAGGGAGGTGCTGGCCGCGACGCCGCCCACGGTGATCGGGCGGCGGGTGGGACTTGAGGCGACGGCGGCGGAGTTGGAGGCGGCTGTGTACGAGTGGGCGGAGGTGGGGAGGATCCTGGAGGGAAGGGGTAAAGGTAAGAGGAGGGAATACCTGGTGGAGTGGAGGGACGGTGGGGAAAGGGAGTGGGTGAGGTCGGCGTGGGTGGCGGAGGACCTGGTGGCGGACTTCGAAGCGGGGCTGGAGTACGGGGTGGCGGAGGCGGTGGTGGGGCAGCGGGAAGTGGCTGAGGGCGGAGTCCGGGAGTACCTGGTGAAGTGGGTGGACATCGAGGAGGCTACATGGGAGCCGGAGGAGAACGTCGACCCGGAGCTGGTGGAGGAATTCGAGCGGAGGCAGGCGCTAGGCGGGGTAGTGACGTCCGTGCCGGCGTCGGCGCAGGGAGAGGGAAGCGGGGCGGCGGCGAAAGAGAGCACTGTGATGGGGTGAGGCGGATCCCAGATCGACATTTACCGACTTAACGTCCGTCGGCATTCAAGTCCTGACGCAATTCGGGACGTTGGTTCATTATTCATCAGTTGAGGTAGCAAAGCATGACGGACGAAGCTCTAATGGAAACTGTTATCTAAACTTGAGGTTTCGTAGCATGCAGTGGGCTCCCTGTACTCTTCTTTCATTGCTCTTTTGCATGCAGTTCCGGCGGCGTGTGAAGCGCTAAGCGTGTGAAGCGAGAAGGTCGATCGATCACTCGGTCGGACCCAGCGCTAAACGTGTGAAGCGCTCTGTATTACCCGGTGGTGCAATGCACGCATGCTTATGGTCCAACGGACACCAGTCTCCCTCTCCCACTCCATATTCGCTGTCGGTGGAATGCTTCGAGCACACCCCTCTCTCCGTATGCCCCGCCTCTACCTTCGCCCCATCAGGTTCCCCCCTTTAGCTCCACACCCAGGCGAGGAATGGGCGGAGCTCAGCGCCGTCCGTCGCGTGCCCGCCAGGACCTCATGAACGTCGGTCGCCATCGAGTGCAACGCGGCGATCTACGATCCGATGACACGGGAAGAAGAGGAGGAGAGGGGCGATTAGGATCCAAACCTGCTTCGGGTGTCAGAATTTGGTTCGTATACGTACCTTAATTCGAAGCAAACATTACCATCAGACCTACTTAATTTGAAGGACACAACAAGAAGGGAAGGTTAGAGATCGACAAGACACCATATTTGATGACACGTATAAACACCATGAAATGATTACACGATGTGTCACGGGCAACTGCAAAAGCTAAAGAGGATAAAAGCTGTCGGAATCTTAGAATGCCATATGCATGACTGAAACAGAAACAAAGAACGAAAAATGAAATGAAAATAAATAAATATTCAAGCATCTAAAATCTTCTTAGTTCCCATTGTATCAGTTTCATCGAACCGAGAAAATTACTCAGAACAGGAACAGAGGGTTATGGATCAACAAACCACAAAAGGTAGCATGAAATGTCTACAGAGCGTATTACTAGCATCTGTGGAAACTAATTAGACAATAAAGGCAGTGAGGATCTTCAGAATGCCATTTACATAACTGAAACAGAAGCAAACAAAGCAAAAGTGAAAGATAAAGAGAGAAAAGCTCAAAATTAGAACATATATTTACCCATCTAAAAGCTACTCAGCTCTCGCTGTTTCAGTTTCATCCGAAAAAACAGAGGAAATTAGGCACAGAACCTAAACTTGCCTAGCAATTGAAAGTTGTCCAGGTAGATGGTAGACGTGTGGAGTCAACCACAGGCATGTTTCGGAGATTCACATCGATTGGAAGCATGCGATGCTCAATATCGAGTTCTCTTAAAACTTTGATCATCTCTTGCACGACATGCTCTCTTCGTGCCCACTTTTCTCCCATATCTTGGAAGTTAATACGATGCCTCATCCAGATTGATATTCTTAACCTGTTCATGTCATCTACATCTCTCAGAACGACCGAAGGATTGGGGTACCAGTGTTCCTTCTTGTTCTCCATAAACCTGCAATTATTGGTTGGCAAATAAAACATAAGTTAAATAAATAATGAAACAATATACCTGATTAGAAAATCTTTTTTGCTACATGAAAAATGGCAACAGGTATCTACCAATTAAAAGACGCATAAACATGATTATTGAAGGCAAAAATTGTTATAGCAAGAAGCAAAGCTTAAGTTCCAGCTCCAACAACTAATTCTATCCTGAATTCTGGAAAGAAATGGAGATAAGATGAACAAAATGAATACAGGAAATTAACCCAAAGGATAGTATAGCTGGTACTGGGAGCAATAAACTGAATGATACATCTTAGTGGAAAATGCTATGTTGGTACATTAGATATCGTCTTCTCCGATGAAAGTTCTATTATTTTTCTTTATCCTCCACCAAATATTTCCTTACTTTTGAGTCTACAAAGAAAAGTTAGATGCAATTGCTGGATCATACTAATAAATATACTGTTGATTATCAGTCAGTCTTACCTTAAAAGGTGTAGGCTTACTAAAGGACCATTCCTACATGATAGCAAGCTTTTTGTTGTACCATAATAGTAATTTGTATATATTCTAGGAAAACTGTATAATTTATAGGGAAAATGTCGGTTATCTCACCCTATTATTCTTTCTCTCATGATAGCAAGCTTTTCCACAGGAGTTGCAACATGAACACAAAAGTCGATTGATTCACCCATATCTGGACTCCGGTAGAAATTGCCAATTGGTTTGGTAGCCAGCACACTATTTGGATACGTAATCTTCTGGTTGTCGTACCTCAAGAATATTGTTGTCAGGATATTCATCTCCTCGACAACCATCTGCAAAGTAAAAATGTTAAGTTATATAGATAGGAAAGTCATAGGTGATTAAACAATATTACTAGCATTATGTGCCTTAGACATAATTAAAGTTGAGTTTCCTCTCTAGTACCTGGACTCCTTCCACTTCACAGCGATCACCAACATCAAAGGGGTGCATCACAAATAAGAATATTATAGCTTCAAAGATCATCTTCAAAGTGTTACCAAAAACAAATGCTGCCAGCAGAAGCTGAGAGCCAAGCAGAACAAAGAAATGAGTTGTGGCAATTCCCAGAATAAGGAGCCAGAGGGCAAATACAATAATTCCCATGACAACATTTGCCAACTGATGAAGTTTATTTACTGCAGTTTTTGTGTCATTGAGAGTCAAAGAAAGAGCTCTACGTTCTCTAAATGCATTGACCTGCAGGAAATGGATCAAATTCATATGACTGCTATTCAAGAAAGTTCACTGAAATGAATTATTTTGAATAAAAAAATGAAGAGATTATACCACCCAGTTCTTGAGAGACTTCCTGCAGACCCTATTGCTCTCGTTTGCTCCTTCAAACATGCTCATTGTCTTCAGAGCTTCATCTTCCTTCATGAAACGCATTAAATCTACCAAATAGATATACCTAAAAAAATTTCATTGCACACGAATGTAGAAGAGACAATGAGACAAAATAGACGACAGAGACCAGAGTACTATATAATTTCAAGACAATTAGACTATCATTTTCCATAATAAAAAAAGGTATTGCTATAAAAGAACCACAGAACATGCAGATCATACCAATTATCAAACATAAAGCCATAAAGTTCATCCGCATCAGCATCGACAACAAATTTTATAAACATTTGTGTGATATCATAATTTTAGGTATATTCTTCATGCACATAGATGGTATAACATGGGCTATATAAATAGTGACACAAAGCAAGATATGCAATATTGTACCGTATCGGTGTTTCGAGGTTGGCTCGGTATGGTACGGTACCGGCGTACCAAGCAGTACACCCTGATGTACCGAATTATTTTATAATTTTTATACTGTAACACTACTACAGTGATACAGTACAATACTGTAGCGGTACCGGGCTATCGGACCGATATGTACCGTCTGTACCAGGTGGTACCATTCGGTACTGCTTGACACAGTAATGATGCATAGTCCCCTAACTACAGTACCAACAATCATGACACATGATCTACTAACCATATGCTAAAGAAATAATCTGATATACTAGTACTAACTTAGGTTTAAACATTTTGGGTCAAAACACATCTTGTAGGTAATTGCCCGAAATTTTCATATAGAATATATAAGCTCTAGTAAGAGATGCTAAACTTCTATTCCATAATCTTCAAGATGGAACTCTTACAGACCACATAAAACAAAATGCACTTAGGCAAGAGGATGTAAATAAAAAGGTAAATGTCTACTTCCTGAAAATCTATGAAAAAGAACTGCAATAAGAACTTGCTCTACACTTTGATGCAAAATGAATTATATCCAAAAGAAATGTAATACCGCAATTTTCATTATATGAATATCTAAGGCTGAGTTCCTATATATTAGTTCAGATGACCATGTCCACAGAAAATAAATCATTAAACACAGTATAAAAGTAAAAGTGGATTTAATAGTCTTTTTTGAACATTCAAACAAAGTAACTTTAAAAGAGAAAGGAGGAATCTTTTGAGATGCTATCTTCCACAATTTTCATTATATGAATATCAAAGGCTGAGTTCCTATAGATTAGTTCAAATGACCATGCCCACAGAAAATAAATCAGTAAATAACACAGTATAAAAGTAAAAGTGAATTTAATAGTCTTTTTTAACATTCAAATAAAGTAGCTTTAAACGAGAAAGGAGGAACCTTTTGAGATGCTATCTTCCGGTTGCATATTCTAATCGGACATGATTCTAACTCATATCATATTGACCAGGCAAGCTCTCACATGCCACCAGTGTCAAATCAAATATTCTTTTTTATTTTGCAATATGACTGTCAACATTACTTTTCTTTTAGAAGCAGGGCAATTGAACAAGAGCTGGTTCCAGCAAAAGTTAATATGTAATGGGTGGAATAAGGACTTACTTGGCACCAGGCTTGGCGACATTACCGAAGATCTTTCTCGCTGCAGCCTTCGCCTCATACTCGCTGCGTATCTGCATGACCGAATCATCCTCCCCGCTCTCCTGCAGAACCTGCTCATCGAGCGTCGTCAGAGTCCCATTCCGCACGATCCTCATCAACTTCTTCATCCTCCAAGCTGATATGTTTTTTGGGTTCAGCTTGTGCAGCTCGTCAATCGTGATCCCTTCATCCTGCTGCTTGGCATCCGAAATCTTGGCATTTTTCCCAATTTGTGAGCTCTTCTGCATAGGCCCGCTTCCGATCACCCTACCGCTCTTGCTCGGCAGTGCTGCCGCACGGAGTTCGTTGGTGATTCTGGCACCAGCATTCTGTAGCTTCCGCACCTCGGCCATCACCCGTTCCTCCTCTTCCATGCCGTTCTGGATCTCGACCAACGGTGGTCCGGAGAGAGTTTCGATCACGTACTGATTGAACAACGACTCCTGGATGCGGTCGAAGTAGGTGCTGACATGGAAGGAGGAGGCGAGGACCTTGACGAGAAGAGTCTTGACGAGTCGTAACAGGGTGGCCACGATAAGACAGGACAGAATCTTGGTGACGTAGGGCAGGAAGTTGCTCCTCGTCTCGCGCTTCACCTTCTCGTCGAACAGCAAGTGCCACGAGATGAGGACGAGGCCGAGCCAGAGGCAGTTCTGAACGGCTTTGCGGATGCCGTAGACGAAGTACAGCACGCGTTTGCGGAGAAGGAAGTTGCGCTCGACGCCAAAGACGACAAGCCGGACGACCCAGCCGGAGACGAGGCGGCCACAGATGAGCACAAATAGGAGGACGAACCACTTCCAGAGGTGGAGATCCAATAACGTCAGGGGCTCAAGGGGAGACAAGGCGAGGCTGCAGGCGATAGCCGCTAGGATGAGGAAGAGGCTCAACCATTGAAGGACAGTGAGCCAGCGGAAGTCAGTGCGCTTGAACTGGTCGGGGATGTCGTCGTCCATGAACGGGTCTTCGTCGTCCTCGTCCAGCTGCTGCGACTTGAGCTGCCCCGACCGAATCTGGCCCGACTTGGGGATCCTCCCGGACTTCTTGACCTCGTCATTGCGGGCAGCCACAGGCGAAACCGACGGCGGTGGCGGTGGCGGTGCCGGGTCCATCAGTCTCGACCGCGTCTTGGCGCGGAGGAGCGTGGAGTTGCGGTGGAGGGAGCCGTTCGATGTGCATCGGACCACATCGCCGCCGCCTCCGTCAGGGCCACCGCTTGTGCTCGGAGAAGGCTTTCGTCGGCGGAGACCGCGTTCATCGTCATCGTCATCGTCATCATCATCGGAGGATCGACGGAGATGAGACTCGGCGGAGGAGGCCTGGAAAAAGACGCGGAGTTCCTTGGAGCCCGAGGCGGAGACGGGGGAGGAGCAGTGCTTCTTGAGCTCCTCCATCTCCACGTCCATGTCGAGGGCCAGCTCGGCGCCGGAGGCCCGCTGCTTGTGAAGGAATGTGCTGATCAGCCGCGACGGCGGGTCGTCAGCGATCTCCGCCTCGGTGTTCTTGCGCTGCTGCTTCTTGAAGCTGAACCCTCCTCCTCCATCACCTCCTCCTCCACCTCGTCGGCCGTCTCCGTCAGCTTCTTTCCAGAACTCATAGCTGGACTCCCTCCACACCTTGCTATTGTTAGTGCCGTTGAGATCGGGGAGGGGCGCGGGCTGGTCGAAGAGGCCGCCATTCTTGCCGTCGATCTTGACGACGACCTCGCCGCCGTGTTCGGCGCCGTTGTTGTGGAGGAGGATGGATTGCTCCTCCAGCTCGTTGCGGGAGGAGGTGTACTTGTGGGATCCTCCATGATGGGGCTTCAAGGATCGCCTCAGAGACTCCATGGAGGGCGTCAAAACGGCAGGGACGGAGAACAGAGTAGGGTATGGAAAGCGAAGCCCAACTTGGGAAAGCACAAACGGACATCATAACGGGGCTCTCATCGTTCATATATTGCAGAGAGGAGAACCAACAGGTGTACCAAGCAGAACAGATTTGGGATGTATGAACATTATGTGATGGTTAAATCAAACTGATCAAATAACTCCTCAAATTCTAATATTCCTTCATTTTAATATGACGAATATATCGAAAACATTTTTGCATTTGACGAATATATCGCTGCAATGACAGCTGTTGCATGGGCCAGCCAAAATTGCTATTAACCGAGAAGCAGCGATTGGGTTCGGTGACTTAGGAGGATTAATTAGACCAATTTAAGGTACAGGTGGCGAGATCGCAGGAGACGAAGAACCACGCGCCACGTCTTTGTCGAGGATCCCTCCCGTCCTCACATCTCCACCGTCTACAGCGAATGGCCACCACGTGGACGGAGATTAGAGACGGCGTTTCGGTGTCTCCTTCATCGGCGGGGCCTCGAGTCGCGTGACATTGACTGACAGGTGTCGCCGTGCGACTTATATGGCTATAAATTTATTGAAACGCCGCAACAGCAACCCAATCGTTACCAAGACGGGCCTACCACAGCAACTGGGTCACATCGATCGGTATCGCGGGTTCTTCGGGATACATCGATGGTAAATACGGAGGTAAGTTAATGCTACCAACCAACAAGGAAAGGGTGGGACAAACAGTAGAGGAGTACATGAAACATTCAAGACGAGTTATATACATTCCTCTTCTCGTGAGAACACAGTTGTTATGGTTACATCTTACCCTTGCTGCTCCAGTGTCCCAGCAGGTACTGCACCCAGGTTTCTTGATTCTTGATTCTCTTCTCATCGATTCCTCAACAACCTCAAGAAATTAATGCATTTTTCATCACCTTTAATTAAGATTATAAGAGGGTTTAGAAGTTGATGACAGCTTTCGGAGGAAGCAGAAATTTAGATCTGCCTAGTCCATTCTGCAACATGCGTCCCTCCATGCTTGGAGAAAACTGGGTTTCTATCTCTCCACCAGGTTGTGTGAGTGAAGAAAAGAGAATAGTAGCGATCGAGAACGACAGAGTCAGAAACTGTAGATTTTTTTTGGTTGATGAGTTTTTTGTTCCTCCAACTGAAATCTTTCGTATGTTAAAGAAGATTATATGTGCCAACTCAGAAAACGATGGAATATTATGTCACTCCTTGTATCTACGTGCATGAAATCTACTGATATGGCATAAATATATATTATTGGTTAGTAATCACAGGAGAAGACATGGTCTTTTGCTAAGTATTAATAGCTCTGCAGGTTTTAAGGGTGGAAAAGATGCGGAATCCTTGTGATCTGGAGATGTATTTAAATGCTATATACAGCTTCACCGTTCAGAATGATTTGATGTTTACCTGCTCTCATTTATGCTCGGTTGATCTTCATTCTCGTGATGCGTTCATCAACTTGATAAACGCAGTCATGCAAGAAGTTAAATAGAAGGATATGCATTTCTTAGGAAAAAAACCTAGAAGGTCAAGCGGCAGTATGCTCCCAGAAGCTATCAGGCCCCATTTGGCAACAGTCTTCTCTCATCTTCCATTATTTGGAATGGTAGATGATGTTTATGGATGGATATCTTCCTGATCTGTATAGTAAAATTATGCTCATCTTCTTATTGAAGGCATGCATAAATAAACTGGAAGCAAGAAGATGAGACACAGAGGACATGCAGAAACTAATATGTGATGCAAAAGTTGGTCATATCTACCTCTAGGAAGTCCAGAAGGCCTGTTTTGGTGCAATCCAGCTACTGAGCCCGCAGCTTTCGTGGTGGCCAATGAACAGTAGCACAAAGAGATCAGCTGCAATCAAGTCAGCGAATCTTGCATGGAGGAGTGAGTTGGATGATGAAAGAGTACTAAGATATTGGCACGGCTCAATCAGAAAATAAGGTCTTAAGGCGCTTTGCATTGCCTTAGTAGTACAGTCTGAGTGACCCGGGCCAACATCATAGTAACTATTCCAAGGTGAGATGTCATCCTCCTCTCACGTTTTGTAACTAAGCCAGAGGAAAGAAGGAAGAAGCCAACGGATATGTGGAGCCTGGTGCCCCTTCCCTGGTGATAGATTTGAACGAGAGGGTGCATGGAAGATAGTTGCAAGCATAACAATCCGTCTCTTCTGCAGAGAAGATGGAATGGCGGCAGAGATGGAGAAGACGCAGAGGGAGTGAGAGAGAGAGAGCGGTGGTGATGATGGAGGAGAAGGAAAAAAATGTATTCGAATATAAGGAGGTAGAAGGGCCAGGATGGCATTTAAAACTCCCGACAACCAAAGAAGAAAGCCAGGCTGCAGCAGTAATAAATCTCGACAGTATGCTCACCATCCTCTCTCTCTCTCTCTCTCTCTCTCTCTCTCGCTCACGCTCACGCTCGCTCGTTAAAGAATCAGTAACGACAGTGCTAAACATGTATGACTATAATCAACAGCTACTACTGTCTTCTGACCTCCTCCCTGCATTACAGAATGCTTCATATATACTGTATGGAGATAAATAAATGAATGATGAACTGCACTCGTCATGTTTCTAACTCTAAAACAGAGAAAACTGAGAAAAGACAAAGGTGTGGGACGGCACCGGAGGGGAGTAAATATATGGAGGCATGGCTGCATAACAATACGCTGCATATTATATAGAGATGAATAAATGGCAGTGGCGGGAGTAAATAAGGAGGGATGGGGTTCGGAAGAGGAGTGAATGAGAAGGAATCTCGGTCTGACGCAACACATGATGGCAAGCATCTGCGTGAATAAATGCTTCCATCTGGTTTCACCATGTGGAAGCGACGTTTGCCTGCTCTCTCTCTCTCTCTCTCTCTCTCTCTCTCTCCGCTACTGGGTGACATTGAATCCTCTCCAACCTCTTCCTGCGACAGTGCCCCTCCGAGCACAAGGGTCGTACGCTGTGCAACTCACGGGGAAGAAGCCATGCGTGCCTGCCTTCCTGCCTGTTCACATGGTACTGTGGTGTGAGCATGGGAAGCTCGCAACGACGCGATACGAGAGATCGGACAACGCAGCCCAGCATCGATCCTGTTCCGGTGAGAAGAGAGAAAGGAGAAGATGCAGGTATCCATCTATCGCACTCCATTTGTTGAGGTAGAGAATTTAGAAGGTCGATCATATCAAGAAATCTTATCGTTAGTTGGTAGGTTTAGGTTTGACCAGCTTTGACCAATTGGATTCAAAAGCCACCAGCTTTATGACAATCAGTCGCAGTCTCATGTCGTCTGACGGGGAGAAGCTTTAGAGGGAAGACACAGAATGGAATGAGGTATAGGGTAAGAAGATATTGATGATAGTTGTTTGGCTGATATCCCATGATTCAACCTATAGTGGGTTTGAATAGTCCATAATCCACCTTCTTTTTTAACTTAATCTTAATTCATATTAAGAAAGTGTGTGGTAACTATGAAAATAGGTATAAATAGGGTAGCAATGAGGGCCGGTGATCTTTGCAGCAGCAAAAAGGAGGAGAAAAATATAAAAATTCAAGGAAAAAGAAAGGAAAGAAAATAAGGACAACAATGTTCTCAATCATCTAGCAGTATTCTCATCTTAGGTTAGATCAAATCTACAGTAGATTTTTATATTATTTAGGGAGAATTAGAAAGAATTTAGAATATTGAGCACAATGACGTGATCCTTATATTCCAGTTATTCTCTTGTGATTGTTGTTAGAGTTTTGAACAAGAGATTGAGATTTGTATATTCATTATTATTATAGTAGATTATCTCTAGTTTGTCCCGTGGTTTTTATCCTTCAAAAAATTTTCCACGTATATCTTGGTGTTCTATTTGATTATGGTTCCCGTTATGTGTTATGGTCTGCTAGTATTTGTTCATATACAAAAGTTATTTATCTTTAGATCCCATCAACAGTAACAAACATCGAAGAGGAAAGTATAAAGATAAGGAAAGAATTAGAGCTCTCAAAAGAGTTAGAAATTGAGAATTATTCTAAATAAGAACAAAAAAGACTTGTTGGATTAGTTGGATCGATTAATAATTGATTAGCCTAATCGATCATTTTCAATCGACGACATGAATAAAATTCTTTTTTAATTCTTCAGAAAATGTTCATTATAAAAACTATTTTATTAGACGATATAGAGTGGATTACTTTTGATTTGAATCAGAAAAGAAAAAAAAAAAACACGAAAATGAAATCATGAAAAGAAATATTATCTTCAATCAATGTTGGATCTCAACGGGCAAACAACATGATGGACACATTCAACTATCGATGCTATCGTTAGAGCAATTACTTTAACCAATGATATCCTCACTTCCTATTACCTCAAAGGTGACAACTTCGACATCAGATCTCTTATATACGTAACAGCTGACCTCTTATACACCCATGAAACCAAATTCATAAGATAATACATTCTCTGGTGTCATGGATCTTACTCACATCTTTCATCCTTTACGAGGGAAGGATATTATAAATATAAAATTATAATATATTATTATTTTATAAAAAAAATTTAATGAAAAATTTCGAAATTAAATAACAATGCATCTAAATTTTGACGCATAACTTTGAATGTTCGAAAATTTTTTATTTATTCTATAAATATATTATTATCGAATCTAAAAGCTATAGAAATATTAATTAGTAAAGAAAACTAGACATATCTTCTTAGTAATCAATCAATCAATCATGTAACATATCATCGAATTTTCTTATTGTCTTAGACGATCAGAGTATCTAGATTAAATAATTAGAAGATTTTCTTTCTAAGATAATCTCCTAAGAAATTTTATTATAGTTAAATTTTTTTTGTTAATCGATAATTGTAATCAGAATCCAATTATAATATATATTACATAATTAAATATAGCAACATAATCTAACATACATATTATTTTTAATTAAAAAATAAATATCATTGTTGTACTTTTTCCACCTTTTCTCCCCCAAAAAGTTGAACTTAAGCAATTTATCAATGACATAAAAAAAATTCTAAAGATAATTTTTATTCCAATTTCGATTCCAAACAATTTATATAACTCTAAATGCTACAGACACTCAAAGAAGTACCAATACAAATTTTTTTGGATCTTAATCTTTTTTTGTAGAGACAATACATCCCCTACCACCTCATACAGAACTACCAATACAATTTAATCTTCACTATCAAATAAAAAAAGAAAAGAAAATCTCAATAGTATGTTATGAATATTTTTTATAACGAAGAGTGTGAGAAAGATAGCTTAGTAATATAAGCTAAGTCAAGGTAGCATAATATGTCAACCAGGAATAAAGAAAGTCCTCATCTAAAACGAATATTTTCTTATTAAAGTAATTAACCTTTCGTAATCAAAAGATGATTACAACACAAACAAACACTGCATAAAGCACAGTGATATTTCCATGTGTATTTTTCTTCCAAAATTATCAAACTAAACTTAAATGCTTCAACTTATGATTTCTATTCAACCACAACCTGATATTTCCACTCGGTTTAATTTTCTTGATACACATATACACTTTTCTCACTCAAAAAAATCCTCTCTCTATCGACGATATCTCTCCTAGCGAATATGATAATATTCAATAGTAATAATAATAATAATAATAAATAAATAATTCAAATTGTAATGATGTCTTAATTAGAAACTCGTCGAACGACAATACATTTCAATCTCTTAACAGTCAAAGCTTAATGACTAATTAACTAGCTATTTGAACATGTCTCCAACTCTAATGGGCGTCAAGATCCGACTTAAACGGGATCAGGTAAGCACCAAAATCATTAGAAAATCCAATACGTTTTCTTTAGGAATAACAATAAATATTAATCTTAGCTTACCATTTCATAACCCGATTAGCTTCTAGATATTTAAATCCATCCCAAATCCTAAATGACTAATCTAGTATGTTAAACGCATCTTTTAATAGAATTCGATCGATAAATACGGATCCAACTTAAACGGATTATGTGGACGGGTATGCATGCTGTAATGTGCATGAATCCGATGGTTGTATTAAATCCTACCCGAAATATGGAGGATTTATCGGATTCCGATGTGGATCCGACCCGATAACCATTTCTACACGTACAAAATAAAAGCCAAGTAGTCGGGGGTTCTCTTTCTGTTCGTATTATCTGCAGAGACGAGGCTGTGCACACCCCCCGCCTCGCTCCATACTACTCTCGTCCTACCGATCTCGATCCCGATCCCGATCCCGCTCCTGCCGTCGCCTCCACGGGGAGAGCCGATTCGCCTCCCTCGCCGAATATCGAGACGATGGGGATGAAGAGATGTTGCACGAGAGGCCGGGGCGTCGGCCGCGGCGTCGTCGAGCTCTGGCACCGCGAGCTCGGGGACTTCCCCCCGAGAGCCTTCGCCCACCGCTTCGTTGCTTCCGAGGTCTCCGATCAAACCCGCGTGTCTCCGTTTCCCCTCGCTCCTTTCTACTTTTTCTTGATGGAGGGTTTCTTTTGGGGATTATGTTCTCTCGTACGAATCGGTCGGTCCGGTTTCTGTACCTACGAGATCGCTTTGGTTTCTTTTTTGTTGAATTATAATCCTAGTGTTAGGGATTTCTAGTTTTTAATCGGTAAAGATTTCTTCTCCCGAATGATGAATGCTTCTATTTCGTTCGATCGTGGGTGGTTCGACGTAACGTGATGAGTAGATCAGAAGACAAACACATTTGCTTTCACACTCTACCTCATCAGGTTTTCTTGGGTATTAGGTTTGGCATGAGAAGATGAGGTGTCTATACAGAAAAAGGTGCATCCAGGATCACAAACTTATTCCAACACAGCAAATCTATTTTAATCATAATAGTGTACTCAATCTGAGTGGTTCGATGTATGCTGTTAATACGGTGTATGTTTTTCTCACAGATGATTTTGGGTTTTTTGGTTGGGCGGAATTTGCTGTTTTAACTCTGCTTTTGTCGATAGTATTTGGGGCAGGGAGAGTGGAATAGAGTCGTGGTACCACTTGTGCCGAACTTAGTTGATCTACCCAAGCCATGCAATATCACAAGCGACATATGCTTGCGAAGAGTCGGTCTAATTGCACTTGCAATAGAGATAAAAAAAGGGTTGATGATTGATGCATGGGAAAACTGTTGCCAGCGCGCAACTGATGCACACGGATTAGGGATTGTGGAAGCCACACTGGAATAGCTGAAGCATTATTGGCAACTTAGGACTCATCGCAAGCGCCTAAAGTATCCAAGTTAGATTAATCTATCAAGTTATATCCAGATACATCACTCCTACTGAGTTCTTAGTAGCCTAGCTGGTAACTAGTGTCATCGTTAAAACAGTGATCTTGAGACATCCAATGGATCAGTTTGGTAAAACAAAAATCAGCAAAGTGTTAGGCAGATTTTGCTTCACTGTGGTGGAGCTGTGCTTTAGTCATGCACTTGTGCTAGGTAGATGAGATGGTAGGAAAAAAAATATAATATAAACTTCCAAAAGAAAACATAGGTAATGAAACTTATGTTAGTTTTCTTTTCATTTCTGTTGCTTACTTTTTAATTGAATGGAAATAATGCTGGCATGCCTCCAGTGGTGACTGCCTATTGGTTAAGAATTTGTATATGTTGTTAAATCATTGGCATTGGCATGGCACTGTTCAGCATGGCTCAGAATGAGACTCACCCTAACCAAGACTTGAACCCTCATTGCAGACTATGAAATTTTAGATCAATTTTAGCTGTCTTTGTGATTTCTTCATGTTCTTCATTTTTTTACAGCTCAAGCTATAAAAATGCAAAATTGATTTGCAGTTTGTTAGTGTGCTTCATATTAAAAAAACTATGATCAATACGTTGGCTAAGCTTGTGTTAATATCAATTCAACTGCAAATCTAGAGGATTTTTTATTTTGTTCTCAATGCCATCTCTGATCTTAAATGTTTTGTTTGTTGGATTTAGGCTCAAGTTGTTGGGACATGGAAGCATCCAGACATTAACTACTTCTAAACCAAGAAATTTGTGTTGGTTTGATTTTTTTGAATATTCATTTAAAATTTTGTTTAAAGTAGGATGTGGTTATGAGTCTTATGACTGACTCTTAATTGTTTTCTTTGAATTATTTAGACTCAGTTCTGCTTGTTTTCCTGAGATTTCTTCTAGCTATATTATTTGAGTTTATCTTTTCTGAACAGGACCTTGTTCTTCGTTTTGGAGTCCATAGAAAGTTAGACAATCATAGAGGCTGTGTCAACACTGTGAGCTTCAATGCAGATGGTGACACTCTCGTATCCGGTTCTGATGATAGAAAGGTGATTCTATGGGATTGGGATGCTGGCCGTGTTAAATTATCCTTTGACTCAGGCCACTCAAACAATGTTTTCCAAGCTCGATTCATGCCTTACACAGATGACCGGATCATCATCACCTGTGCTGCAGATGGTGAGGTATATGCTGTTACACTTCCCTCTGTGTCTTGTAATATTTTAGATGTCATGTTTTTAATGCATTGCTTTTTATTTTGTATGTCATTAGGTAAGACATGCCCAAATACTAGAAGGTGGAAAAGTGGATACAACATTGCTGGCTCAACATGATGGACGGGCTCATAAATTGGGTATTGAGCCTGGGAGTTCTTATATAATTTATAGTTGTGGTGAAGATGGACTGGTTCAGCATGTGAGTAGTTTATCTTGTTTTGTTTTCTTTACATGCTATTTTCAGCTTTTATCTACTTACATTGCCAGTTTGGTGCATGTTACACAGATTGATTTGAGAACAAAAACTGCTACAAAGCTATTTACTTGCAGATCGACTTACGGGACGGCCATTCATTTAAATGCTATTGCAATAGACCCAAGGAGTCCCAATCTATTTGCAATTGCAGGAACAGATGAATATGCTCGAGTTTATGACATTCGCAAGTATATGTGGGATGGATCAACTGATTGTGATTATCCTGCTAACTTCTTCTGTCCCCGTCATCTCATTGGCAATGATAATGTTGGAATTACAGGGTTGGCATTCTCAGATCAGAGTGAGCTATTGGCATCATACAATGATGAGCTGATATATCTCTTCTCTAAGGATCAAGGACTCGGACCCAATGCAGTTAGGGAATCTCCAATATCTAGTGTGAATGCTGATGCTGGAGATAAATCTAAATCAGCTTCACTTCTGTCTCCAGTTGATGGGGATCAAACTGGACCACAGGTATACAAGGGACATCGTAACTGTGAGACTGTCAAGGGTGTGAGCTTCTTTGGTCCAAACTGTGAGTATGTTACTAGTGGTTCAGACTGTGGACGGATCTTTATATGGAGAAAGAGGGATGGAAAGCTTTTGCGCGCCATGGAAGGAGACAAATATGTGGTCAATTGTATTGAACCTCACCCTTATGCTACTGTGATAGCAAGTAGTGGCATAGAGAATGATATAAAAATTTGGACTCCCAATGCTGCAGAACCAGCTGCACCTGTAAAAATAGAGGAGGTAAGAGATTTTTAATGTTCTGCTCATAACCTTTGTCAATGCTGTTACTTTGATTTTTGGTTTGGCTAAGATAGAACTTGTTCATCTGCCATTCATTCCTAAAGTAAGTTGCATTTTCTATAAAGTAAAACGTGTGATTGACTTATTCACATAGAAATTCATCCTGTTGCTAAGGCATATATGGCTGCTTCTGATACATCAATTTCCCAAACAAAAATAAAAGAGGCACATTAAATTCCTGAAGCATTAAACGACCTTTAACTTCTCTGGTGCTTTTTTTATGAAATGGGTGATTGCTTTGCATTTGTTAACTTTGACAATGATGGTGATGATGACATTGATGCACCAGTGGCTATGACGATAATGGTGGCATAGGTTATGGCACTGTTTGCAACAATCATAATAAAAGTTTTCTGATATTATTTCTGCTTGTCTCACCCATGATGACTCTGAATGACATGACCCTTTTGAAATCACCAGTTAAAGCCGCACAAGAGAAGAAGCAGGTTCTTCCGCTTTGCTCTTCCTGAAGACATGATAGCACAGATCTTGGCACTGCAAAGGATGCAGACCAGGTCAGGTGATACAGATGAAGATCTAGCAGCTAATGCAGACTTGATGGACCTTATAATGCATTTAACAAACAGAGATGGTTCCTCCGATGAGAATGGGGATACCTCAGAGACCCCGGGCGACTGTATCGTTAATTGATGCAATTTCGTGTAGTTGCAGCTCAAAAATTTGTACATGTGAATAAAATTCTGCTGTTTAACTGAGATGATTATTAAGCATCTACTAAATTGATCATTAAGTTCTTTATCCCTCTGTTGCCAGCTTGAATTATTAATGTGCTACCAAGAACCGCTGGAGAATCTGTAAATATGCTTTTAACTCATGGTTTCCTTTTAGATAGCATGCTTAATATCTACTCGATGTTATGGAGATCTACCATTAATGTTGATTTTGCTGATTACTGTCACTATAATCTTCCATTCAGGGTTTTGACATAATATTTGCCAGTTTGCTTTCACAAAGTTTTGAGCCAACGAGGCATTTGAGTGTGTAGGTTCCCCGAAGACATTGTCCAGTGATAAGAAGCGTATGAACTCCTTTAAAGGATCGTCAAGTATCTGGTTTACATTTTTGCGATGCTTGGAGGCAGGTAGGCATCATCCAAGTGGTCAATATCGAGTAATATAAATATCCCAGGCAGATCCATCAATCCTATGACTAAACTTGCAAGCTTTTAGATATCAAATTTTTGCCCGAGAAAGCAGGTACGCCAATTTATTGTTTTTACGTGAGTGACTTTTTATTAGATATTGGATTCCTATCACATATCGAGCTAACTATATTGCCAGATATCACCAATGTAATCAATCCTCCCCATTCCGATGTACAATAATTTGAAGATTATGCATCATGAATCGACTTTTAGAGCAGCAATGATTATAACTGTTGTTTTACATGCTAGTTAGTTCATACTATCCTATCATAACCAACCTATTATTTCACGTATCAACGAAATGAACTATTAGAATATCCACATTGATAGCGATTAAATATTTTTAATTTTACATAATTTTATTTAATTTTTTAGTTATGTCATTACACATTTACACTGATGATAGATGTACAATAATTTTTTTAATTTAAAAATAAAATTATAAAATTTCTATATTATATTTATTTTAAAAAATATTAAAATTTATAATCAATTGTCTTTTACTGATTTAAGCATCAGATGGGTCAAGCCGGGAAACCCTCAACATAAATATATTATGTAGGACCATCGACGGTCAGGAGACGATTCCGCTACCAGGACACAACCTCACAGCCACGAGACAACTCTTCGATTGGAGGACAACCCATCCGTTCAAAGATAGGATCTCACAGTCAAGCAAATCCTGGTTCCTCTACGCGGTCTCACTGCTCTAAGGTCAGATCGACTCTGACGAACCATCTCCCTTACGAACTTTCTACATTGGTTTGTCACGTTAGCACTTCCATATCAACATAGAGGAGAACACAAGGCCTATAATCTTTGAATATTGTCTTTGAAATGCAAAGATTTTTTTTCCTTGGAAACAGAATGGATGGTGTAAGCCTAATGCTACAAATATCTTTGATCTTTAAGTGCCTTGTCAGGAAGCTTAACGGGTCTGCAACATCGCCACAAAAATCCCCGATAGGAGACAAACGGATCTAGCAGTTCCCAACAAAAAAAATCCATCGACCCCAAACGCAAGCCACAAACAATTGGGTGGACATAGAACATCCACCTCCCGTTGAATCTTTTAATGATAGCACCTCCGTGAGCCTCCACCATTTCTTCCCCCATCCACCTCGATAGCGCACTCATCCCTCACCCACCACACCTCATTCCGATCCCATCATCTGCCATGGCCGCCATGGCCACCTTCCTCTTTGGGTCTCCTCCAACTTCCTCTTCTTCTGTCTCTTCCTGCCTCTCCAGACTAGGCCAGCCCGCGCCCCTTTCTTCTCACTCCCCACTCTCCCACTTCTTCTCCACCAGGATAAGACACCGTCCGTCATCCCTCGGCAAGCCGGCGTCGTTCTGCCCTCGCGCCTCGGCGGCGGCGAGCGGCACCAAGAGCCGGTCCACAGCCAGCGACGAGCGGGTGCAGAAGGTGCACAACGTCGACGAGTTCGAGGCGGCCCTCCGCGCCGCCAAGAACAAGCTGGTGGTGGTGGAGTACGCGGCGAGCCACAGCCCCAACAGCCGCCGGATCTACCCCTTCATGGTGGAGCTGAGCTGGACGTGCAGCGACGTGGAGTTCCTGCTGGTGATGGGCGACGAGTCGGAGCAGACACGGGAGCTGTGCCGGCGGGAGGGCATTGACCGGGTGCCCCACTTCACCTTCTACAAGGGCATGGAGAAGGTGCACGAGGAGGAGGGCATCGGGCCGGACCAGCTGGTGGGCGACGTGCTGTACTATGGCGACAACCACTCGGCGGTGGTGCAGCTGCACTCCCGGGCCGACGTGGAGTCGCTCATCGACCAGCACCGCGGAGCCGACGGCAAGCTGGTGGTGCTGGACGTGGGGCTCAAGCACTGCGGCCCCTGCGTGAAGGTGTACCCCACCGTCATCAAGCTGTCGCGCTCCATGGCGGACGCCGTGGTGTTCGCGAGGATGAACGGCGACGAGAACGACAGCTGCATGGAGTATCTCAAGGACATGGACGTGGTGGAGGTGCCTACCTTCCTGTTCATAAAGGACGGCCAGATCTGTGGAAGGTACGTCGGCTCGGGGAAGGGGGAGCTCATCGGCGAGATCCTTCGATACCAAGGCGTAAGGGTTACCTAAATCCATCAACACTACGTCTATATCTATGTATATCATCTTGAATGCAACGACAATCGACTGTATTTTTTTGTTCCCATCAATCCTAAACAAATTGTGGGAGCCATCACAAGAACGAATGTACACAACACCTCACTTGGTCCTGCCCTCTATGAATGTAGTTCACTTGTTGGTCCTAAACATTGCTGTGTGAGAGCTGAAGATGATGTTGCTTCACTTGTTGATTTGGTTTTGGCACGCTATATAGCATATGCCATCGCCAAATGGGGTAATTATCTATTTCCTTTGCTGCCGCTCTTCGCAAGAACGAATGTTGCTTTAAGATTTGTGCTTTATCAAATTCCATTGTAGCACAAGGCATCCATCCTAGTCAAAGTCACCTTCCGTATATACTACACACACATCATATATATATATATATATATATATATATATATATATATA